CCCGTATTTGTCCCAGAGCAGAAGAACACAGACTTGTCCCCACTGCACTCCCATAAGAGGGCAGTAACCCTAATGCTCAGCTCACAGTGTCCCAGAAGTCTATATCACAAGAGCCAGGACCCTGAGTGGTGGGTGTCTGTGCCCTCAGCACCCAGCACATGATGAACCAGCATGGTGCTCAGTGTACAAACTCTAATGCCAAACCCACCTGGTTAGAATGTGGCAGATAGTAGCACCAACCAAGACAGCCAGCAGTCAAGGCCATGAGTCCCCTCATCCCTGGCCAGGGCTCCCAAGATGCCTTAATATCTCTCTAATGAGAATAATTTGGCAACAGTGGAAAACATGCACTCACCCTTTGTCCCAGTAATTCCATTTCTGGGAATCCGGCCTAAAGAAATAATCCTAAATATAGGCTAGAAAAACAGGCTTCACAAGGATGTTCACTTCGGAGTTGTTTATCGCTCATGCAAAGTAGAATGGCAGTTCTGTCCGTGACAGAAAGGGTGGGAGCAGAGAGAAACCCAGAGCAGATGCTCATAGGTACAGCACAAGCGACTCAGCAAAAATTACATTTAGGGTCTGCGAGATGACTCCATGGGTAAAGGCAGGGGATGCCTGATGACCTGAGTTTGATCCCTGGGTGGAAGAAGAGTGACTCCCATAAGTAGTCTTCTGATTGCCACATATAAACTGTGGTGTGTGTGTGTGTTTACATTCATGCACAATTGATAATAAACAGCAATACAGTTTATGTTTACAAATAATGAGGAGAGCCTGCGTGAGATGGCTTGGTGGTTAAGAGCCCTTGTTTTGCAAACATGAGGACCTAAGTTTGGATCCCCATCATTATATTGAAGCCAAGCATGGCAGTGCACACTTGTGACTATAATGTCTCAGTAGGGACGGTTGGGTTCCCAAAGCTCAGTAACCAAATCAATCTAGTCCAAAGCAGGCCAGCTCTAGGCTTGGTGAGACTCCCGTTTCAAGGGGGTAACCGAAAGTAATAACTATTGCTAGGCACCTGATGTCTTCTGGCCTCTGTATAGCCTCTGTATACTTGTAATGGCACATGCCCACACACACACACCGCATATACAGAGATGCAGAATTATATATGCACAGTAAAAATTAAAATGAAAGAAATATACTGGAATATTAGAGGGGGAGGGGGAGAGATGGGAAAGAGAGAGAGAGAGATTAGGAGTTGAACCTAGTGCCTTGCATACCGTAGTCAAGCATTCTTCCTTTGAGCTGCATCCCGGACCCTCTTAAGTTTTATTGTGTGGTAGTCTTGTTTGCCTAAGCTAGCTCTGAACTCACTCTGTAGTCCTGGAAGGTCTTGAATTTGTGATCTTCTTGCCTCAGTCTTCAGACTCACTGGTTTTATGGGCTTGTGCCTTCAGGCTCCGTTCCTGAGTGATCTTGATTTAATTTTATCCACATGCTTAGATTCCGTCCCTCACCTTCCCACGCTGCATTTGTTAGTCAAGTGTGAGTTGTCATTTACATATAGTGACATCTACTCATTAGTGTGCTGATCCAGGAGAGCTGAAGGGTGGAAATACCAGGAGGAACAGTCGCTTGGGGTGAGCTGGTTCCAATCACCCTAGCAAGTGTGTCCTGCCTCCCCTCAGCTCTGCCCACCCCTGCAGCCTGGAGCTTCCCATCTGCTTCAGTACAGACCAGGATGTGATAGCCAGTCGTCTGATTCCATCCCTAGGGTTCTGTGGATTCTAGGGTACCCTGGAACAGGAACATTGCTCTGTGGGCTTGACTCCGGAAAACCCATGATCTCTTAGTTGTGCCGGAGAGCTGCCTTTCCCCATTTCCCTTGGTGGTGGGACACTCACTTATCCTCCTTTCTGATTCATCTCCTGGCTGCTGTTGACTCTTACTACTGTGGGCAACATTGCTGTGGGTAACATTGTCTCAGCGGTGTGACATATCTGCTGCTACGTGTCCTGTTTGTGTTGCAAGCCTCAAATTTCCTGCCCCACTGAGGACTCCCTGGGCAGAGGCTGTTGTCAGCATAGCTTGACATACAGTGACCACAGAGAAACCTTGGATGTAGAAATGAAAACAGTGTCCCTTGTGTCTCAACACTATACTTGTCCTTAGTGTTGTGTCTATACTCGGTGTACAAGTTTGGCCCTGATTTGGGAGCCCAATACTTTTGTGTTACTATTGAGTTCCAGGTCCAATTCAGTCATCTTAGTTGTCATCCAGTGATCCTTTTGTGTCCCCAGATTCGATGGTAGAGTCACTTAATCTTGCCCCCCCCCCAAACCTTCTTCTGGCCAGAACACTTGCTCGGGTATTCCTTGTCTTCGGTGATTGCTAGGCATACTCTTGTTTTTGGATGTATGAGTTACTGGGTAGCCCAGGCTGGCCTCACATTCCCAGTCCTCCTGCTTCCACCTTCTGAATGCTGGAATGACAGGTAAGCCTCAGCATGCCCAGCTTAGGCAGGCATCTTGAGGAACCAACTTCAATTGGGTTTGGGGGTTTAGGGAAGAGGATGCCAGAGGTAAAGTATAGTCATCATATTGATCTCTTCAGTATATTCCAGACGCTGAGCTAAGTAAGTCCTTGGCAAATTAGGTGCCCTGATATATTCTCTGCTATTCTGTTTATTAAATTATTACCAGAGGAATCAGGTTCAGAGAGGTGCAGTAACTGTCTTAATGACACACAGTAAGGGACTCAGAACTGGCTCTGAAGACTGCTTTGGGCCAAGTGCTGAGTCAGACCATGGCAAAGCGATCAATCTGGTTTTTAAAAACAACGAGTGCTTATTTATACCCAGCCTTTTCCCAGAAAGCTTTGCTCCCAGCTTCTGCTCCAAGCTGCTTTTGGACAGCCTGGCTGTAGGATGGAGGTGGCTTACAGCAACCAGCATGTGCAGAGGTGATTTGTACAGGTAGAACACTGGCTGTCCATCAGAAGGAGCTAGGGTCAGAGGTCTCACAGGAGGTGTTTGGAGACCAAAGCCTGTAGGCTTTCTGCTGCTGTAGGTCTGGGTGGTCTGGTTCCTTCATGATCCTAACATGCCCTTTGTCACAGTGGTGGGTCTCCTGTATTGACCTGAGGGGTGGGCATTTTGGACTCTGCGTCTTTGTTGTCCAGCATTGCAGCCCCTCTTCTGACTTCTGTGGATACTTAGGGCAGTTAGGCTAACTAGCCTTTTTGAAGAGAAGGGACTGAACAGCTGCCATGGCTTCCTAGAGAGGTCCTTAATAAAGGCTCACCTTCCCAGGTGTGTTGTGTGCTGGCACTTCATTTGTTAAAATGACAGTCATCCTGAGAATTAGGCTCACTGGAGATGATGACAAAGGCTCGTGTCCCTATTGTACATAATAGCTAGCCGAGAAATGGGACTGTCATCAGTACACACAGTAAATATTTGAAATTAAGCATCTCTCCAGCCAGGGGCAAGGCTGAGCTATGTTATTCAAATACTGGGCCATGTCACTGGGCTATTGACAAGCGGGACAGGGAGTAATTCTGGATGTACAGTGTGGGAAGGGGTACTTACTCCACAAACTGACAAGGCACACTGTGGTCTGCAGGCCTTGCCAAAGGGCAGTGCACTGGCTTGGAGGACTTGGGGCAAGCTACTTCCCACCAAGTCCACAGTTCTGGAGGCTTCATTGATACTGGCAGATTTTCCTACAGCACCTTCCCCTTGGGGATGTGGTTCCCAGACCCCAATGGACCTATAGGCTCTTCTAGAAGTGGTACATGCTACCCAGGCTGTGCCTCTCCATCTTCCCTCAGCCCTCTTGCTGTTTCTGCCTGTGTGTTGGCCTTGAGTTTATGCAGTGGCCTCTCCTCTCTGCCCTGTCACTTAGCCCCATTTTGATCCCCCATTCAACGTTTCCCCACCTCTGCTTACTCTTGGATGTTTTTTGTTTGTCATCTGTCCACTTCACTGGACTACAGTCTTGTAGTACCCAACATGCCCCCCCACCCCGCCAAATATTCTAGAAACTCAGTGGATATCTGTTGAACCAACCTAAATTGGTCAGTCATTCTCAAAACTGATGACCGCTCGCACCAGGGAAGCTGAGGCAATTTAGCCATCAGCTCTCCCCACCTCCACCATGCAACAGTTGGAAAAGAAGACATGATCAGAGGCCCAAGTGTCTGTGGTAAAGTTCGGGCCATGGACTTTTAAATTATGCTCTTCCATTTCGGCGTATTATAGTGGATCGGTTCAGTCTTGGCCATGGGATGCTCACAAATCCTCTGTGCACCTTCTCCCTGAAGTCATGGAGAAGTGCCACCCACAGAGTCCCTGTAGCAGTGTGTGCACATGCAAGGGTCTCAAGGAGGTCGCTGTTAAACATCTTAGCTTGGTTTTCTTCTCTTCCGATTCTCCTGAGCTTGGCGTCTTGGAGGTGGAGTGTTGAAGACCCTGTGTCGGTAACCCGTGCTGCTCCCCACCCCATCCTTCTCTTAGAGAGTGGGACTCTCTTAGCAAGCAGTGTGGATAGCTTTAGGCTTCTCTTGCTTTCTCCCAACACTTAGCCATGGTTGCCTTTCTCATGTTTTCCAAATACACGCTATTGACCCATGTGGCGGGCCAGAAAGACAGCATGTGCTCTGTGAGCTTTGGGGGATGAGGAAGCAGCAGGGGGTTCTATCAGTGGGCTCATGTGGGGAGTGACTCCCATGGTCATAGGAGCCAGGGAGGGTTGCTGAGATTCTAGCTCAGTCCTGAGCTGGACCTGCAGTTGGGCCCCGTGATCACCAAGAGATGACCCTTCACCCTTGCCGTCAGGGTTCCCTTGCACCCTAGATGTGGAATGAATTTCTTCCACAGGCCTTCCACCCAGTGGAATGCTGCCAGCCTAGAACTCCAGCCCTTCCTTTGTAGCCAAATTTCTGTGTTTACACTGTCTGCTTGTCACCAGCATGTCACCAGCATTGGATTCTGAGGTGAGTGCTGTGCCTGCTTTTGTAACCTGGGCATGTTTCTCTCCTTTTTGCTGCAGCCGTCCGGGTACATGGAAAACTCGGTCTCCTACAGCGCCATTGAAGATGTTCAACCGCTGTCCTGGGAGAATGCCCCGAAGTACTGTTTACAGCTCACGATCCCTGGGGGGACCGTCCTGCTGCAGGTAGGATGAGTAAACATGATCAAGCAGTTTCTCCCCCTCCTTCCCTCTGGCTCTTTCCTTCTCTCTCACCTGCTCCCTCTGTAGACATTAGCTTTTGTCAACTCAGAACACCACAAAGGTATAAAGGGCTCTCGGGAGGGCAGGAGAAGGGCTGTGCATGGATTAAGCACATGCTTCAGGATGCTCCCCTGTCTAGGAGCTTGCCAGTCCCTCCTGAGCCTAAAAAATGAATTCTCTAGTCTCCATTTTGCAAACAGGGACACCTAGGCCCATTGGCCAGTTGCTGGGCCTCAGAAGTTACCAGAAGTACCTTGTTACGCTGAACTCAAGTGAGGGTGTATCTTGTGTCTTGTTTTGTTGGTTTAGGTTTTTTTGTTGTGTTTGGTTTTGGTTTGTTTGTTGTTTTGTTCTTGGGTTTTTTTGTTTTTGCAAACAATGGAAATACTGGCTGTATATATCCGTAAGGACATCAGTTGGAAATGACACAAGCATCATTCAGACAACAAGTTGAATAGGAATGTGATGCTATTAAAATTGCTGGGAAGTCCAGGAGAGGGCTCAAGAATAGCTGAATCCAGGGGCAGATGACAGATGATGCCATTAGTACTTAGTCTTTGCCCCCTCTCTATGTTGGCATCATGGTGAGGTACATTGTCAGTGTGTTGTGGGAACGGGGGATGTGGCCACCCTAAAGCACTGCTTAGAACTTGGAATTCTTTTAAAAGTAAGAGTGCCTTTCCTTCCCTTGAAGCTTCATGGAAGAATGAGGTTGACCCTGCTGCTCCTGCCCCTCCTTGGGCAGCTGATGGCCCTTCTCATACCACCAAGAGGCAGGAGAGGCACACACCCCTGGAAAGGAAGAGCAGCAGCTAGAAGCCAGTTGTCACAGCAGTGCAAGGGACATTGTGTGACACATCCCTATCCTTACCGTTTTCTCTCGGAGGACATCAGAAACCATGCCTGCCATAGCTCAGTTTTGAACTCAGCCAACCAAGCTATGCCCTCTGCGACACCCCCCCCCCCACATTCCTCATTATGTCCCCTCTGGCCAGCAGAGGTGGGGATCAACATGCCCAGCCTCTGCTGTACCTCTCTTCCTCACTTCTGTCCCCTTTGCCCAGCTGATGTCTGTAGTACTGGGTCCATGCAAGACTGGGCAATGCCAGACTCTGTGGGGCTGGATGACCCCATGAGCAACAATGGCCAAGACAAGGAGGATCCTGGAGGGCAGCAGAGATGCCTTCTGGAATGTTATTACTTCTGAACTATGAAGCTTCAAACGTGGGTCCTGCAGCCCCATCCTCATCCGCACTGTCAGCCTCTGTGGAGACCAAGCCATAAACACATGATTACTGGATCTGCAACTCAGACACAGGCATGTCCTAGAGGACTGGAGGGGAGAGCAGGGTGACTCATTGGGCCAGGCCCCGGGAAACAGAAGGGCCCCATGGATGCATTGGCGTGGGGTTCAAGGGGATGAGTAGGGTGCCTTGTAGGGGTTACAACTAGTGTTAGTGTGGGGAGGTAGCTCTCTGCTGCAGTTGGGAGTAGGGTTGATGCCCGTGACTATGTCTAGATGATATGGTCTTGTCAGCCTTTGACTATATCTATTGAGGGTATTAGGGAGCCATAGAAAGCTCTTAAGGGACAAACGGGACACTAGACAAATCAGTCTAGTCAGGGAGCCCTGTTTCCTCTGTTGATGGTGGCCCCCACTGGCAAGAGAGCCTTTTGTTTCTGGGGCTAGAGAGGGCAATCTTGCCTTCTAAGGAAGGCTAGAGCATCACCCTGGGTCAGAGGAGTGAGGCACGCTGGCCGTCTCTGGGCATGTCCCTTTAACCTGGGCATGGCCCTGGCTGGCGGCACTGATGACTCTCCCAGGCTGCAGTGGGCTGAGCAACACGTCAGAGCTCCCCCTGTGCGCTGGCAAACCAGGCTGCCCCAGCGTCCTCCAAGCTTGCCGCCCCTGCTTGGTGGCTGCTCAGTCAGAGGCAGGAGCAGCAGAGGAGGAGAGAAGAAGAGAGAAGAGGCCGCAGCAGCTACTGCTGCAATTCGGAGCCTAACTCAGGGAAGCAGCGCAATCTCCCTCCAGAGAGCTAGGTGGGTGTAACCCTGCCCCTGCCCACCCATGGGTCTCTCTCCTGCTTGCATTGCCATTAGGCCAAGGGAGGCAGTCTAGATTGCCCACCTCCTGTCCCTGCCTGTCCCTTGATTCCATGATTATGTATGGCTTCTCTATTCCCCAGGGGCATGACGGAGGCACTGGTTAGGGCCTCTGCTGGGCTTTCTGGTCCACATGCTGTGTGTGACAGATGTCAAGGCCTTTGTCTTTATTCTTGAGAGGCATACTATGTTAGGTCCCAGAGCCCGGATGTCACCAAGAAAGAGCAGGCTCAGTGACTGGGGAATAGATCTTCCTTGCCCCAGGATGGAAAGGGACCTGGAAGTAGCCAGGTAGGCTGAAGGGTCACCACCCAGGGGTTGTAGCCCAGTGTAAGCGCCAAGGGCCTGTGGCAGGATAGAGAAGCCCTGGAGTGTTTTGAGCAGAGCCTGGGCACTGCAGCCACCAGTTCCTGTGATGGTGTGAGCTTGGGTTTAATTGATGCTATTGATTAAGAAATGTTCTTTCTCAGCACCGAGCCACACCAAGTGTCAGGGCTCTGCTGTATCTGTGCTGTCTAGCCCTCCATCTCCCTCCTCCCAGCATCCTCCTCTGTCTCTACATCTGTCTTTCTGTCTCTTCACCCTTGTCTCCCTTCTGTTTCCTTCTCAGCCTTTCTCTCTGCTCTTCTCTTCCTCCCTCCCTGTCCAGCCTTTGCTGTTTCTTTCTTTTCCTCAAATGTCTCCTCAGCCTCAGAGCATCTCCCACTTCCTCTGTATCATCCTCCTGAATTCCTCCTCCGATCCCAGTGTCCTTCTAGGGACCTGAGCTGGGGGTTCCAAGAAGGCTGAGTAAACCTTCCCATACATCCCCTTAGGTACCACTATGCAGTCCTCCTGCAGATGCAGCGGATGAGACACCAGTGCTTGGGGGGGGGGGCAGTCAGTGCTCCTGGCTCCTGGGCACTTTGTGATCTCAGTGTGAGCTCCCTAGGGCATGTGTTAGAAGGCCCCAGCAACAGCAGAGGCCTGATAATCTTGTTTCTCTCTTACCACCTTCTTGTCAGCACTGTTGTGAGGGGGCCAGCTTCTGAGCACCTACACGGTGTATGCCTTATGTGGGGCACATTGCTGGTGGCTTCTGGTGAAGTGCCAAACACTAGGGAACCATGCAGTACTGATATGCTTGAGGCAGAGGGTCCACCCTTAAGGAAGAGCAGACAGAACCTAAGTTGGCTTGAGTAAAGAAGGAAGGAGGACCCTCGAGGACCCTCTTTCCCAACAGTCCTACGCCCCCTTCGAATTGCCAGTCTTGAAAGCCCCATGGGAGATGGACAACTCTTTGGGACAGGATGGGTTCCTCGCTTACTGGAAGTGAAAGGGAGAGAGGGAGAATGAGAGAGAGAGAGCTTTCCCGGCTGCTCTTTGCTGTTTTTCCTGGAGATTGGTCCAGGAAGCTGAACTTGGGAACAGTCCCTGCAGGCTCCAGGCTGTTTTTCTCACCTCACGGACAATGCAACAATGAGCTAGAACTTGGCAGCCTCTATAGAGGAAGTTGGGCAGGCTTGCTTGGAGCCAGCCCTGTGGGAAGATTATCACCATGCACAGGCAGAGAGCCACCAGAGCAAGCCTAAGGCCATGGGGGCAAGGTAGGCTGTAAGGTTCCCGGGGATTCTCCTCCAAGTCACCCTCAAGGCACACTGTGCCTAGTGTTCCCTGGGATCCAGGTTGTCCTGGCTCCTCTCTGCTGCCACTCTGGCTGCAATGGAAGTTCATAGACAGATGTTCCTTCTGGCTGCAGCACAGCCAGGCCAATTGCCCTGTGCCAGAAGCCACTTGAGGCCTATACTGGGATTGAAGAGGCCTATACTGGCATCCTCTGCTGAAAGAAATCTCATCTTTGTCATACGCTGCCTGGCCCACTCTGCTTTCCATGTTGGCTACTTGGTGCTGGGCATAGGTGCCATGTTCTTCATTGACTATCAAGGGGAGAAGCAGCTCCCAGAACCATGGCCCACACCCAGAAGAGCCAGGCATACTATTTGCTTGCTCCCTAGAGGGTACTGGGACAAGCAGGCTAGGAGAGAGATGGGCCTGAGATATGATCCTAGTTTGCTCTGTAGCCAAGTGCACTGAGCAGTGGGAAAGCTTCTGGGCCTTATTTCTTCACCTATGACTGGACCACAGTGCTTGTCTCCTTGGTTACCATGGAGCCAAAGACAGTCCAAGCCTGGTATACAGGTGTTTAGGGGCATACTGCCATGCTTGGCAAAAACACCCAATGAAGAGGGTGTTGGAGTTGAAGGGTTCTTTGAAGTTCTGTGAGATGGGCATATGGATGTTCCATCAGGCCTCATGTTTACCTCCCTCTCATTTTTCCTCTCCTGTGCTTGAACATCCATCTGTGAATGTACCTGTCCACTTATATCTGTCAGCATATCTACCTCATCCATCAATGGACATACACCCATCCATCCATCCATTCATCCATCCATCCATCCATCCATCCATCCATCCATCCACCCACCCACTTATCCTTCTGTCCACTTACCTACCTCATCATCAATCTACACACACCTACTTAGCCACACATTTATCCATCCATCCATCTGCATGCACATCTACCCTTTTACCCACTTACCACTCTGTGCATCTATCTACCCCATCCTTCCATCTACGTGTGCACCTAACCACTTACCCCTCCATACATCTATGTACCCATTTACCCACCTATCCATCTATTCATCTATCTGCCCACTTATTCTCTATCCACTTGCTCATATGTCTACATATTTATCCATCTATTCACCCACCCATTTATCTACCCTCATCCATCTACCTATTTATCTGTCTATCCACTCACCCATCCAACCTGCCCATCCATCCATCTGTACCCCGCTTACTCCCTGATGCACCCATCCATGCCTACTTGCCTTGTTCACATGAACACGTGCATCTACTTGACCAGTCACTCATTTATTCAGCTTACCGGCCAGTCTTCCATTGCTTTGGGTTTCATAGAGTTGGTGTGCTTTAAATCACACCCAATTCCCAGCCTTGCAGAGCCATGGCCCGGAGGTAGGAGGACAACTAAACAGGACAGAATGATGTGAGATGAGCACAAACAGGGGGAAGCCAGTGTCAACACAGTCACTGTGGAGAGGTGCCATTCAGGGTGTGCTCAGGGTGGCTAAGGTTTGCACAGGCACTGGAGGGAGCAGGTGAAAGTGGAGAGTTCCCAGTGCGATGTAAGGCCATGTGAGAGTCAGACAGACAGCACAAACTAGGAGATGTTTCACCAACGAAAGAGGCCCAACCCTGTGTAGCTCAGAATAGCAAAGAGTTCACACTGCTCAATTCCCTGAAGCTACTGGATGTCTGTTCTGGAGCACGCATCTGAGATATTTCTGCTGCTACTGCATGGGAGTGAACAGGGCTAAGTCATGCACTGGCCCTTAAAGCAAAGCTTCTGCCCTCTCATGTCACATTAGCTTGTGCTTACTGGATGCTCCTTGGAGTCTGGCTTTGACCATCTCCCTGCTTCAGTCTGATTGGCCCTCCTGCCTCCCTCATTATGGATTCTGTGATCCCACTGGGCCACTGTATAGTCCAGGGTGATCTCCCTGTCACAAGAGCCTCGATGTACCATCGGCGGTGTCTTTTACCCCCCCCCCCACAGGATAGCGCCTCCACAGGTGATTAGTGTGTCATGTTTTTGGAGGCCCCCCCTCCCATCATTCCTTTCCACCACTGTGATATGTTAAAAGCATAGACACACCTGTGAACCAGGGCTATGCTGGAGCCGGTTCAGCCTGGTTTACACTTGCTCATGAGAGCTTTGAGTTTTCTTCATAGAGTTAACTGTGGAGATTATTCACACCAGAGAAAATTCTCCTTCATAGAGCTAACTGTGGAGATTATTTACACCAGAGAAAAGTCTCCTTGATGGTAGAGCTAACTGTGGAAATTATTCACACCAGAGAAGCCAACACACACTGTGGCCAGAGCTGTTTTGCTCAGGTGAACCTTTGTTGAACATCTACAAGGTATTTGCACCATCCCTCTGTTGCACACCCCATGGCTCATCATCATGAGACCAGGTACTAAATCAGTACTAACCAGAGCTGGGGGTGCAGGTGAGCCACAGACTTGGGGTAGGGGGTGCTTCTCTTCACAGGCCTCTGAAGGCCTTGTGTCATTGGGTGACTTACTCACACCTAGGCTGTGATCAAGGCCATGACTTGAGCCTGGGCCTTTCCGAGGGTCAGCTCTGGTACATATATATGTGCAAGGTGTTGGAAGCCTGTTGTAGGAGTGTTGAGAGAACCCTGTGTGTGACAGGATAGCTCCCTGGGCAGTCCTGGCATAACAGAGCCACTGGTCCACTTAGCTATATCACCTTTGGCCAGTTCCCACCCTCCAAGGTCAATCAATATGTATAAGCACCCTGCTCCAGCCAGCAGGGTGGCGACTCTTGTGCCCAACAAAACTATCCCATACTGGCAGCCATGTCTTCTCTTCTGATTTTGCTCTTGAGAGTCAGTGTACAATTTTTCAGGAGGCAAGCCTGGGCCTTGGGGGCAGATAGCATTGGTTAGGGGCTTGTGTGGAGGCCAGTAAGATGGTCTGAGACATTCCAGAAAATGATAACTTGCCACTCTCCTGTTCTTGTTACAGGCTGCCAACAGCTACCTGCGAGATCAGTGGTTCCATTCTCTGCAGTGGAAGGTAAGTCAGGCCCCTGTTGCTGGATGCAGCCGCTACTTGGGGCTTAGAGAGTAATGGCTGAGAACCAGGCAAAACACAGGCTCAGTGAGGGGTCACTGCTCTTGCTGGAAGCCTCTGCCTCCTCCCCAAGTGCTATGCCTTATGAGAGATACAAGTCCCCGGTGGTGGCTGCTCAGCTTGGAACCACCCAGGTGCTTCCTGCCTATTTTCCTCAGAAGGAGGGCAGACTTAGGGTCCAGGGAGGCTGGACTCTGGGATCCAGAAGTTTCCTTGAACAAGAAGCTTTGGAAGCTGTGCAGGGTGGGAATTTAGCAGAGGTTGAAAACCCTGGCTCATGTTCACCAACCCTGCTCCTTTTGGTGGGCTGACTCTCTAGCCTCACTCCCCTTTTCACTCCTGTGGAAGTTTCAAGCTTCTTGCACTCGGAGATGGCAGACTCCTGCCTAGTATTATATGTGGGGTTCACTAAGTGAATCCAGAACTAAGGATGATTCCTTGGGTTCCCAACGGTTTTTAATTCTGATGGCATCCGCCATCTTTATCATCACTAAATTCGGTAAGTGAAAACTTGCTTTAAAAGCTAAGCTAGAGTTGTCAGAGGTTGTCAGTGGCCTTGCCAGGTGCTGTCCCTTCTTCTGGGAGGTGGGTTGTGACCCTCATTCCCACCATATAAGCTTGTGTGAGATGCTAGTGTCCTTGGGGCAGTCGGCCCCTGATGATTCGGGTATGCGGCCACCAGGTGGCAGTGGTCTCTTGTTATAGTAACTTGATTTAATGATGGCTCCTGGAGGTGTGATTTTGGTGAGAGTTGTTAATTAAGCCTTGCTGTCCGTCCTTGCAAAGTGACCAAGAATCATAAGCTGTTTGGGGAAAGACTTCTAGCTAGTAATGTCAGCTGGAAGTCTTGGATTCTGACCCTTACTTTTCTTTGTCCTGTCCAAACAGATCTGGGTGCTGGTTCATTTAACTGAATTCAGTTACTGAAGTTTGTAATGTATCAGGCAGACCTGGCTTAGACACTTCTGTTCTGCTGTCGTTTAGCTAGTGTGGGAACTAGAGTTCAGAGAGACCAAACATCTTGCCCATAGTTGCTCAGCAACTTTAATTCAGACCCGTGGGTCCATCCTGCCTCCTCTCTGTTAGACTGCCTGAGATTTGGACTCATCAGCCCATTCAGGATGTGACCCTCTCTCTGGCTCTGAGACAGCCAGCTACTCTTTTCCTCCTTAGGTAAAGGCAACCACCATGGGGTTCTCTTCTTTTTTATTTACTTGTTTCTTTTTTCATTTTTAACACGGGGTGGGGGGGGGTGGGGCCAGCTGACAGTAGAACATCAGAATTTAGGACATTTAGCAATCCCACAACCACGGTTTGAATTTGTGAATTTTCTTGCGTGTGGCCTACAACAGAGAGTATATATAGAGTGTGCTCTTTTTTGTAGTGTGACACATTCCTCTCAGATACTGTGTCTTCCAGTTTAACTTGCCTAGACTTGCCCAGGGCAGTGTGTTTCCTCAGGAAGGCAAAACTGGATCTTAAAAAGATACAGCATATGTCCCTTAGAAGGACAGGGCTCCTCAGACAAGGGATGCTGCGGAGTGTACCTCAGGCTGTCCTGAGGAGCACACCAGCGCGTGACCAAAGCGCCCCTTGTAGAATTCTTGCCTTTTCTTTTTTTAAAATATGGTCAGGAGGTCTCTACTGCACTTTCCTTGTGTGCTCCCTGCTGCCAACATGACCCTCACCACCGTTTTCTCGGCCTGGATAGATTCTCTTGAGTTGCTCTGAGGCCATGAGCCCCGACTCCTTTTCTTTTTCATTCCCTTGCCCTCTCTTCCACAGCAGCCTTGGTCAGGGGAGCCCAGGGAAGCCTGAAGTCCCATGATGAGATGGGGATAAGCACCTCCTGTACTAGGAATGGGACGGGAAAGAGTTGTTCTGCCCTACCCAAATCTCCAGAGCCCAGCCTATAGTCCGGGGGCTCCCTGGGGAGGCTGTCCTGTTTGGTTTAGGCAGGAGGCCCTTGAGGCCAATTCCCTTGGGTGTGGAACGTAAACAGTCATACAGAGTTAATGAGGCCTCAGTTCTGACTCAGATGCTCCTCTTTGCTCCTGCCCAGGCCCTCAGAGGCCAGGATCTGCAGATATAGCCTATTTGTACAAGAGGCTTCGAGGGAACAGCCGGCCATGTGTACAAGGCCATGAGGGAACAGGCCCTTCTGTGTGTGAAAGGCTGTAGGCACATAAGCCTGAAAGGACAGATAAGATCCTACTGTGTGTACAAAGCTGTGAGGAGACAGGCCCATCCATGCATGTGTAAAAGCTGTAAAGAGACAGACCTGTTATACTACCCTATAAGAGCACAGGCCTGTTGTATTGTACTAGCCCATAAGAAGAAAGGCCTAACGTGTTCAAGGCCCAAAAAGGAATGACCCATCCAAGTATATGTTACTGTAGAAGGACAGGCCCGTTGTGTATACTAGGCCATGTGTGTAACAAGGCTATGAGGGGACAGGCTAGGTTGTGTGACACTGACAGTATTCTAGACTATGAGAACACGGCATATGATTACAAAACTATGAGAAACTGGCCTGTTTTTCTCGCTGGGCTCTGGAGATGAGAGGCTCCAGTGCACGCAGCCGTGAGGGGCAAGCCTGCCTGGACACCTTGAGGAGTATTACAGCTGGTGATGAACACTTAGCCAGGTGCCTTGGCTTCCTGGTGTGGTTCAGAGGCCACTGCACAGAAGTCATAAACCTGCAATGATTGTGTTCTCGAGAGAAAGTGGGTCAGTAAAAACATTACAGGCCCCAGGGCAGGGCACACGCGGGGTGTGTGACAAGAGACTGGCCAGCCACGAGTGCATTTGAGTATGCATGGCCACAACTGTCTACTTCTCCCTAGCAGACTTTCCCAAGGCCCTGGAAGGTATGAACTCACAGCCACCCCTGTTCAGAACTCTACGTCGGAGGATGAAAATGAAAAGTGTTGTAGTGTGTGCGGGTGGCTATTGTATTCACGTGTTGTCAGTGGAGAAATACTGCTGACTGATGCCTTGGTTTTCTTCTCTGTGAAATGGGGTGTCAGGAGCATCTCACCTACTGAAGTCTTTGTGCAGATCATAGAACTTATTGTTAGAGAGGGGAGTGAAGTGGGCTGTAGAAACCAGTGCTTGTGCCATTCTCCCCCCCTTCTGCCCCCCTGGCAGACCTGGGAATCCTTATGAAGACTTCCTACTAATGTTGGCCACACAGGGTTTTCTAGGCTCTTGAATACCCTATGTCTGTGATCCACACACATTTGTTGTCTTGAACCTCTGGGTAGTTCTTCGAAGCCCTAGTCACTCTCGACTTATGGAAGAGGGGCTGGAGCCCACAGGAATGAAGACATTGCCAAGGACAAATGGCTTCTTAGAGGTACACTGGGCAGTTGTCATGCAGTGTGGATGGACCTGTTTGTGTTCAGAGCCCCTGGTCAAGAGCAGTCACTGTCAGGGTCCCTGCACAGGCTCTTTGCTGCTCATACTCAGGAGTCCCAAGAGTCTCACCCTATACTCCACACAGGAAGGAGGCCTGGCTTGTGCCAGGATTGCTGGGCCACCTGGTCAGGATGACAGGAGGCCCTGAGGTGCACCTCATCTTGCACTCCTTGCTGAAGGCCAGGCCAGAGCATGCCTGGCATGGGAAGCCTGGGATACCATATGTGCAGTGTCACCCTGGCTCTGTCTCTCCCTGGCCAGGGTGTCACCCTGGGAAGGGCCCATCCCTGGATTCTGTGCTGCAGCTTGGACGAGATTCTCCTCTTTCCTGTCTGATCTGTGGCTCTCCTCCTGGAGTATCCGGACAGACACAGTCCCAACCGCAGGTAGTCACCATGCAATCACTCTGCACAGGGTGCCTCTTGGGACTCAGCACCACTGCTGCAGAGAGGGCCTGCTTCTCCTGTGTCCCTGTTTCAGATGTGGACTGAGAAATTACACCTGCCTTAGCCCAGTCATGTGCCCTTTGAACAGAGGCCTGCTTGAGTTCAGAACCCAATCTTCCTTCCCTGGCCTGGAGCATCATCCCTGCAGCACATGCGTGCGGAGCACACACATAGGCACACACTCACAACCCGGTACACACATGTGACTCATAGGTTGTTACTGGATTGTTAGGCTCTAATCCTGGGCCCTGGCAGCCTAACTATCCAGGCTTGGCCATGGCTTTCTGTATGCCAATTAAATAGACACCTCATAGTAAAAACAGTGGAAAGGAGGGACCAAGAGTCACAGTAAAACCCTCCCCCAAGTTCATCTTCAAGACAGTGACATGAGGTTTAGCTATAGAGGCACACAGCTAAGCAGTCCTTGTTGAGGGGTAGTCCCAGCAATCACTGACCCATCATTGTCTCTGCTCCAGACTTGCCCGTGAGGTGGTCTGAGAGTTGTCATAACTGCATTCTCACCGAGGGATCTGACCTGCACCCTGACTCCAGCCTTTTCTTTTTTTCTGTGTGAACTCCGTGGGAGAAATTCTAGTTGCTTGGGGCCTATTGTTTCAGTAGGCTGATAGCCAGGGGAGGGGGCTCAAGGATATCTCCCTCCCCAGACAGTTAGCTGTCACAGACCCTGGTCTGTCCTAAGTCCTGTGTGTCTAAAACACACAAGACAGAGAGCTTTGCATTTCCTTCCAGGCCTTACAGATGTGTTGAGGGTTATGGGTGAAGCTGGCCTGTCACCTGTTCTTGGCAGCCAGCCAGCATAGCCACAGTCAGACCTGGCTCTCACACCTGCCCAGATATGCCACATCATCCCCTTGTACTCAGTGCCCGGACTTGGCCTGGCTCCTCACTTCCCGGTGCTCAATCAGCATTCTTGCGTGGCTCTGTGTGTCCTGCCTCGCCACATGCCTGCCTTACCCATCCAGGTTAACTCTTGGCATTCAGTCCCAGAAGGATCAGAGGGACTCTGGGAGCCTCGTAAAAGTTGACCACCCTGTGGTGACCCAGGGAACAAAGGCG